TTGGATCCAGCCAATCTGCAAGCTGCCACTTGTCAGGGTTCCAAAGACCATCTGAGGCGCGGTCGACCCCTTGATCTAACCAGGCTTGCATGCTGGCAAATTGTCGCTCTAGCAAATCCTTGTCGGAGCTGTATTTGTAGAGGGCGTTTGGAGCCAGTACAGTCACGTCGTCCCATACAGCTTGCGCGATGTGAGGCCAATTAGGGCTGATGGCAAGCGGCACTACCAACGGCGGGATGCCCCCTTTTCCTTCCTCAAGCTGCTCCGCCGCGACATCCTGGAGCCAGTTACCGAGGATCCCCAAGGTATCGTACAAGAACGTAGCCGTTGGGCAAAACACCTGTAAGTCGCCAGTCCAGCCGAGCCGCTCGTCTCTCTGTGGGCAATCGGTCGGAATAGAGAGGAAGTTTCCTCGCATAGACCAGACAACGTTGTTATGAAGTTGATTGACAGATTCATTGGAACACTCGAAGAACCCTCGCCGCTTCATGTCCGTATGCAGGACAAGTGCACTGATGTCCTCGGTTGATGGGGCGCCACCCGGCCATCCATCAACTTGAACAAAGCGGAAGCCATGGAACGTAAACTTGGGTGTCCAGTCTCGAAGTTCCTGTCCTGACCCGATGATGGTGTCGAGGGCCTTCGCATCTCTGAGAGGCCTCGTACCAAGCTCATCGTTCTCCATGACTTCGGCATGTCTGAACGTAACCTTTGCCCCTTTTTCTAGTTGCAGGGACTTGACGAGGAGCTTTCCGACGAGGTTCTGCCCGAAGTCTAGGATCGTCTTGCCGCTCTTGCTTTGGAACACTTTGACGCAGGGCTTGGTCTCGATCACACGAACAGGCGGCGCGTCAGGGGCAACCAGCTTCGTCTGTGGCCATGGGAGGGCCTTTGTCCCAAGTGCCTTGGACCAGTCTGCATCTGTCAGGTTCCATCCCTGCTTCTCTTCGTTCAGATCGTATGTTTCGCCGTCGTATATCTCACTGTTCGTAATCGCGCTGGGGAGAGAAGACCAGGTGTCGTCCGAAAAGAGTGCCCACGGCTCAGCTGACAGGGAACTGACCTCAAGCTGCGCAAACAGGCCAATCACGTCGCCATAGCGGAAGCGAATACCGCCCTTGAACCCAAGGCGTCCTGCGTACCAGCCCTCGGCTACCTCGACGCATATTGTGTTCTTCTTGCCAGGAAGTAGAAGGTTCTTCACGTCAAGGATGCGGTAGACGAGCCGGTGTCGGTAGCTGGTCCAACCAGGAGCCATGCACTCATCTGTAACTGGCTTTCCGTTGATGGTGGCTTCGAAGACGCCAAGAGAAGTGATGTAGAGTCTTGCTGAAGAGTTGTCGAGACTGATGTTATCAGGGATGGTGAATTCCTTGCGGAATCGAATAGGCCGTAGCGGTCCATGGGGACCGATCTGCTCGGAGGATGTGATGAAGTTGGCTCGAAAGTCTTCTCGTTTCAGAAGAGCGGCTTCGACAGTGGCCGGCTCTGACCACGGGCTTGGCTCTTCGGCCTTGTATGCGTCGTCGCTGAGACTCTTTCCGTATACACGAACTCGAACTATGGCGGAGTCTCGCGAAGCCAAATCTCGAGCTGGCCAAGGCACCAAGACGGATTGGTCGCTGGTTTCACGGAAGATTTGGGGCTCGCCATTTGGAGTGAAAGTGACCTCAAGCTCGTAGGCGGTTTGGGTCCAAGCTGCGACCGTGGGTTTCGTTGTTTCGAATTGCCAGGAGATTCTGGGTCTGGAATAATCTACACCAAGGCCGCTGTGGTGGTGTTCAAACACCGGCTTGGTGATGGTGGGACAAGACATGGTTCGGACGTATCGTCAATGTTGGCTTGCTGTCCATGGGCTCAGGTTTCTCAGGAAACTAGTACATGAAATATTCTCAGCCTAAAGGGTCTTCACCTGTGCTAAGATGATCACTCTCCCGGTGCAAAGGAGTCCGAATCGGGGAGTCTAGGTGCGAGATATTAGTTCTTGGAGTCGAGGGATACCGGCATCGGCATACGAAGATCACCGGGCATCTCTCCGCATCTGCCAAGCACGACATGCGGCTTGATACCGTGATGCAAAGGATTGGATGACGGGAATAACCCGAGCAAGCACGATTCACCGGCGGAGTCTCCGCATCCCCGCAGGAGCTAAGGCTCACCTCCCTCGCGATCTCGGTACTACCTTACAACAATGAGACGATCCTTGCGTGGGCTGCCGATGCTGGTCCCAGACTCTTGGGTTGTTGCTCACATAGTACCGAGGCCGTCGGGTTACCTTTGCACCGAATCATCTACGAGGTACAAGGGAGGCAAAAACACACAAAAGCAGATAAGCAAATCCCCAGATTTTCCACTTGCATGATGGAATATTCTTCCCCAGACGTCCTTCTACTCCACACTAGATACCTTGATCAGCATGAGCTTCCTCATCGTCGCCATAGCGCTTGTCGCTGCGCAGGGCGGCTTCATCTACGGCTTCGATTCTGGTAGACAACCGTCCAAGTCTATCAGAAAAAACTGGCTAACTCTATCCAGGAATTATTGCCACAACTTTTGGCCATGACAGTTTCAAGCTCAAGATGTACGGGCCTTCTATGGTCAACACAGCGTACACAGGTGCAATCGTTTCCGTCTACAACGCAGGCCAGGCCATCGGCGGCATGACGACCGGATATCTCGCCGACAGATTCAGCAGAAAGTACACGATTCTTATTGCATCGATCCTGACCATCATTGGGTCCGTTCTCCAATGCGCCGCCATGGAGGTTGGAATGATGATTGCTGGGCGTCTGATAGCGGGAATCGGATGCGGCGAGCTGCTCTCCGTTGTTCCCATCTATCTTGCTGAAGTCGCACCGCCTGCCCGTCGTGGATTCCTCGTTGGACTACAAGGAATGATGATTGCCATTGGTTTTGGAGTCGCCAACTGGGTCGGGTTTGCGGGTGCCTTTGCCTCGGGAGATGGACAGTGGCGCATCCCATTGGCGATGCAGCTCCCCATCCCTCTTGTCCTCTCCGTCATGGTGTTCTTCGTTCCCTTCTCGCCCCGTTGGCTGATTCTCAAGGACCGGTACGAAGAAGCCAAGACGGTTCTGGCCAATCTGCACGGGGCGACGGATAACGACGACCTGGTCGGGCGGGAGCTCATCCAGATTAGGGAGCAGATCTTGATGGAGAGGCAGCAGGGCAATATGAACTGGGCCACGGCCATCAAGCAGATGTTCTCGCGCCAGTACGTCCGTCGCACTCTCACGGCCGCCTTCATCGTCACCATGGGCCAGCTCAGCGGTTCCTCCGTCATTCAAAACTTCCAAAACATCTTCTATGCTACCGTTGGATCCACAGGTCGAACGGCTCTGCTCATCAGCGGCGCGTACGGCATGATGGGCATCATAGGCCAGGTCATCTACCTCGCAGTGGTGGCAGACCGCTGGCCGCGGACGCGCACCCTCTGGGGCGGCTCTCTCGTACTGAGCGCCATGATTGCTCTCTGCATGGCTTTGAGTGCGGTGTACGGCAACAAGGATAACGACAATGCGGCCGGAGCGGGAGCGGCCATCGCGGCAATCTTCGTCTACTCCATGTGCTACGCAATCTTCTTCAACGCCATGATCTGGGTCGTGCCCTCGGAGCTGTTCCCCTTCTTCCTTCGTACTAAGGGTCTCGCCTTTGCGGTCGCGACGAAGTCCGTCACCGCTATCGTGCTTTCGCAGATTACGCCTCTTGCCATTGCGTCTGTCAGCTGGAGGTCAGCCAGTCCTTCTGATATGCGCCTCGCTTCATACCTTACTAACACGGTTTCTAGGTACTACTCACTCTTCATCGCAACTAACCTGGCCGCGGCCGTCTTTTACTTCTTCTTTCTCCCTGAGACGGTGTGTGGCCCCGTGCCTAACTCAGATAGCCATACCTCGCTAACACTAGGAGCCAGTCCGGAAAGTCGTTGGAGGAGATTGCGGAGCTGTTTGGCGACGATCTTGCCACGAATCGCCTGGGAGATCTTGACGTGGACGCCAAGAATGGTATTGGGCCGGAGGCAGAGTTCCACGAGTTTTCTGAGAGGCGCCCAGGTACTCGGGCATAAGATACTGCCACTCGTGTGTAATTCAGTTCGGTAGTCAGGCGTCCATGGTCCATGAACCCTCCAATGCAACGATGCTCTTTGAGTGATAAGAACATCACAACATGCCATGCTTCCAGCAGCCTGCCGCCTTCTCTGTCGCTATCTTCCGCCATTCCTACATAATGCCTCGGAGCCCATGCCTCTCACACATGGCTGTGGCCCCTTAACCAGCCCATCGGCCTCGTGCTCGTTGCATTAGATAGCGAAAGGGAGCGTGGGACTCACGGTCAAGTCGTAAGACAACTGCGAATACCGCCCCTCTCTCGCCATGTCTGCAACCGAGACAGCGCGCGTTGAGCAGAACAGATCGAGCCACATTCCCTGAAAGTCCGCGCCGACACCGAAAGTCCCCGGACCGCTGCTCGAGGTCTGCTCGAGGTGGATCTTGTCCCCATCCCGACGTGGGTCACACGGCACCGCGGGGTAGACGGTCTTCTACCCGAGAGGCCATCCTGTCGAGCTAAGAACTTTCCCCAGACGACGTTATGGATCCTTTCGGGGGAGCGTTTTGGCTCCCCCTAGCGTCTTTTTGCTCGGTCGACATCGCCCGAAGCTCTGTGACGTGATGACAAACTCCTGCGCCGCAGAGAGCCACAGATGAAAGCCACATCGGAGAGAAAGCCGATATTCGGACTTGAGGGCCGTCATTCATGTCGGAATAATGCACATTGTCATCGAGGTATTATCGTGAAGTGCAAACTAGGAGCTTCATAAAGTTGTCCTCATAGCTTCCTGTTCATGTCTGATTTCTCTTGACGCGGGCGACCATCTCATGTAACACCTACGTCATACCCTCTGACCTTCACCTTCACCTACATCATCACCACTCATTCAATCTCAACTCAACTCACTTCAACCTCATCAATAGCACCACAAAATGATGAACTCAGAAGCAAACCACATTCTCATAACGGGAGCCGCCGGCTTCATTGGCCAGGAACTCACGACGGCCCTCCTCCTCTCATCCCCCACGATCCACCTCACAATCACCGACGTAGTAACCCCGTCAATCCCTCCGCAATCCATCGTCCCAGACGGCGCGTCACGCATTACGGCCCTCCAGACAGACCTCACATCCCCCGATGCCGTCGCCGCGCTCCTCACGCACCACTCGCGGTTCAACGCAATCTACCTCCTCCATGGCATCATGTCCGGCGGCGCAGAGGCGGACCTCGACCTCGGGCTGCGCGTGAACCTGGACAGCCACCGGTACATCCTCGACGCCCTCCGCCAGCCGACCTCGCCTCATCGCGGGACTGTCGTGGTGTTCCCCAGTTCGCTCGCCGTGTACGGCCCAGTTGGGGGCCAGGTCGTCACCGAGACGACGTGTCCCACGCCGCAGTCTTCATACGGTGCCGAGAAGCTCATCATCGAGACCTTGGTCGGGGACTACTCCCGCCGCGGGCTCCTAGACGGCAGGATCGTCAGGCTGCCCACCATCATCGTCCGACCCGGAGCGCCCAGCGCCGCCGCGTCGTCGTTTGCGTCAGGCATCGTGAGGGAGTCGCTCAAGGGGGAGAATAACATTCTGCCCGTGGGCCCGGAGCTGGCCATGTGGGTGTGCTCGCCGAGGACGGTTGTTGCGAACCTAGTCGCTGTGAAGGACATCCCGAAGGAGAACTTTGGGCTGTCGAGGGTGGTCAATCTGCCGGGTATCACCGTGACAGTGGCGGATATTTTGAACGCATTGGAGGTTGTCGGGGGAATGGAGGCTCGGGCCAGGGTGACAGAGGAGCGAAACCCGCAAATCGAGGCTATCGTGGGGAGTTGGCCGGCCCTGTTTGACGTTTCGAAGGCGCTTCAACTCGGGCTGGCCCAAGATGCGGATATCGTAACCACAGTCAAGGACTTTGCTGAGCGGCTTCGGGCCGGGCTGTAGCATTAGAAGCTCGGTTCACATCCAAAAAAGTAATTATAAGTTTCACCGTCTGAACGCAACTCGAAAGCCATAAATCGTCTATGCATTTTGTTCTCGCACGGGGTATCTAGGGTGGTTGCCTGCGACTCACGTTCATCCCCTGATAGAATTCGAATACGCAGTGATAGAAAAGGAAAGATGAGGCGCTGATGCCTTTACACACTCGCACGAACCTAGTCGTCCCACTCCTCGTCCAGCTGATCTATCAGACGGTTCTCGTCCTCGCGGTTACGTCCTCTGCTGGGAGATCCGGACAGATGACGGTAGCCACGCCTTCCTGGCAGAAGTTGAGCACATGAAGAGGTCGCAATGACAAACATGTCCTGTTTATGGTGTTAGTTCCCCTCAACCACTAGTAGCGCGAAGGTCTACATACACTGACAAACCCCCAGATGCCGGCCCAGAGGCTGTAGTTGGGCAGTTGCCGCCAGCCCCGGGCATGAGCGACAGTACGCTGGTAGAACACACCACCACCAAAGTATACAAGCACGGCGATCACGAAGATGATGGCGAAGACACTGCCGGGCCCGACGCTGCCAGGCTGGTGGGGTTCGGCTCTGGCGCAAGCGTGCTGGGAACGGGCCTCGAAGAAGTAGGCGCAGTCGTCGGGATCTGAGCCGACGAAGGAAATGTGGGCTGCTCCACCAATCTGTTCCGTGTCGCAGTGGAAGGAGATGGTTGCCGACTTGCGACGGGTTGGCGTATCGTCCTTTTCTGCCGAGGCCTTCTTCTTGCCGACTGCAGACGGTGCGATGAGGGTTCTGTCCTCGTCGTCGGTGTATCTGTTGTAGGAAGCGCCGTCATGGGCCGTTGCTCGCTTGGACTTGCTCTCGCCGCAGGGAGAGCCGTTCTTGTATTGGAGGACCAGAATGCGCCCGCGGGTTTGTATGTCCATGTTGGATTGACTACGTCGCGCATTTGTTAGTTTGAACAGAATTGATCATGAGAGAGCAGAGGCAACGAACCCTATGGAGAAAGTTTCGGTCTTGTATGTGTAGTACGCGCTGACGTTCTTGGACTCGCCCTTGCCCAACCCCACTACGTCTTCGACAGGGTCGATGACGGGAGCGCAAATATTGAGGGTGAAGTTCTTGCCATAGTCCCAGCCCCTAGCATGGTAGTCGGTCGTGACAGCACCCTTGGATGACTTGCCCTCCTCAACCTTGACGGCGATGTCTGGACGCAGGTCGTAGAACGGCCCGCCGGTCCCGCTCTTGGACGCTGCCGTGCATGCCGGTACGCTGCTAGATGTGCTCGAGGTCGAAGTGTCGGCGGCGCTCGGGGTCGCGGCTGCTGCGAGGAGCAGCAGGAAGTTGGAGGAATGCATCAAAATGGATGGTTCTGAGTCGTTCTAATATCGATGAAAGGGGTCCAGGCCAGGGAGCGCGACTGGAATGATCGTGTTTGCGGGAGTAAGCGCTTCGGAGCGCGGAGAAGCGTGGGTCGGCTCGGGGCCTATGACATCAATTGCGGATGCTGCAAATCTCTGGAGAAGTGGAAATGAAGCGAACGATGCTGCAGTGCCGTGCGACGGTGATGGACAAAGACGTAAATGCGGTCGAGAGGCACTTTGGAGGACAGTTTGGAGGATTTGGATGCTGGGCAAGTGGGAAGCCACTTGGTCATTCGTCAGCCTTTCACAGGGAGATGCCGACGGGGGACGGGAGTGACGGGAGGGGGTGCATTGATTGGTGGATGGGCGCTCCTTGCAGCGTCCGCCCCTCTGCACCAGGCTGCATTCAGGTCCCACGGGGGCCACCGTACAGGCTTCCCTAAGGGACCCGACAGCTTCCAATGGCTGCCTGCAGCCTGCCCTGCGGGACACTCTTTCCGCGACCAGTATGGACAGGGTCACGTGTCATGCAGGTCCTATGTGCTCAATCTGGGGGAGATTACCTAAGGACTCATCCTATTGCTTTCATAAGCAGTGCCGCACCTCCAGGAAAGGGCACTTGGCAAACGCCGATGTCCGATTCCCCTTTCGAAGAGCAGCGGTACGTACCTCTCCATCGCGTATCTGCTGTAAGACGGGAAGATCTGGACCTCATCCTGCGAGCCATTGCCGAATCACATTAAACATATCTTATTCTTCATGCATACACAGACTCTGAGAGCTTGAATCTTAAATTCTCTTATTCCATCTCAACCGGGCTTCCAGACTTCATACCGTCCGATGCTCTTGCATGTCTTCCCGTGGCCGTGCTCTCGGTGGAACCATTCCTCCGGGGGCACCTTCCACCGTTTCAATCACCACGCGCGTGGGATCCAATCAAGCAAAGCTCGGATCGCAGTATTAGCGTCATCGAATCTCCTCCGCCCATGAGGTCACTCGGAATCCCATAGCTCCGGCGCAAAACACCTCTCGATTGTATTCGCAGCCTCCACATCGTCGTGGATCTTGGGGCTGATATTTTGCTATCGGCTCGTCTTCGTATTCCTGCCGCGCGGGTGCAAACACTACAAATAACAGCACGCTGCAGCTGTGTATAGCTCTTTCCACCCCACAATAACGCAACGCGACTTCCTCCTAGCATCAACAGCACCGCGCAACATGGCCAAGGAAACGCAAGTCGCGGTAAAGCAGCAGCAGCCACCGCCGCAGGCGCATGGCTATCATTTTGGTGGACCGTGAGTTATCTCAAGCAACCTCAATCCCATTCCGTCCACTGACTTTATTCATAGTATCGGAACCTTTGGCATCTCCATCATCCTTCCCGTTCTCGTCTACGTCTTTGCTTTCGCTTGCAACGATGTCTCCGGCTGCCCCGCGCCCTCCCTGCTCGACCCGAAGAACTTGACTCTTTCCCAGCTGAAGCGCGAGGTCGGATGGCCCGCTGAAGGAATCTGGGGTCTTGGAGACAACAAGGTCAACGCCGCCGTTCTGGGATACTACTTCTTCAATGCGCTCCTCTACCGCTTCCTGCCTGGCACTGAGGTCGAGGGTGTCCAGCTTGCCTCGGGCGGCAAGCTCAAGTACCGCTTCAACTGTACGCAGCCCGACCTATTCCCCTACTGCTCGTGTGACTGACAAACGCAGCCTTTTCCTCTGGAATGTTCATCTTGACTCTTTGCGCCGCTGGCACCATCGCTCAGGGCGCCGAGTTCCCTGTTTGGACCTTCATCACGGAGAACTACATCCAGGTCGTTACTGCCAACATGCTGGTCGCATTCGGTGCCGCTACATTCGTCTACGTCCGAAGCTTTAGCGTCAAGCCTGGCAACGTCGAGAGCCGCGAGCTGGCCGAGGGTGGACATTCTGGCAACCTGATCTACGACTGGTTCATCGGGCGAGAACTCAACCCTCGCGTCACGATCCCCATCATCGGAGAAATCGATATCAAGGAGTTCATGGAGGTCCGACCTGGCCTGCTCGGCTGGTCCCTGATCAACTTCGCCTGGATGGCCAAGCAGTACCGCACCTATGGTTTCGTCTCAAACAGCATCATCTTTGTTTCCGCTGTCCAGACCGTCTATGTCATCGACTGCTGGTACAACGAACCCGCGATTTTGACCACGATCGACATCATTACTGATGGCTTCGGCTTCATGCTTTCATTTGGCGACGTCGCGTGGCTCCCGTTCATGTATTCCCTCCAAGCCAAGTATCTCGCTGTGTATCCCGTCTCGGTCAGCCCGCTCGGTATGGCCGGAATCGCAAGCATTATCGGTGTCGCCTTTTTCATCTTCCGCGCCTCCAACAGCCAGAAGAACGCGTTCCGCAACAACCCAGATGACCCTAGCGTTTCCCACCTCAAGTATATCGAGACCAAGGCAGGCACTCGCCTCCTTATCACCGGCTGGTGGGGTGTTGCCCGCCACATCAACTACCTCGGCGACTGGTTGCAGGCATGGCCTTACGGCTTGCCCACCGGTATGGCTGGATACACGATCGTCTCGGCTGGCAGCGGCTTCGTGCAGTCCGGTGTCGAGGGAGCGTTCAAGATGGCCGATGGTCGCGAGGTCATCCAGGGTGCAGCGCGAGGATGGGGAATCCCCTTCACGTACTTTTACATCCTATACTTTGCGATTCTCTTGATTCACCGCGACCGCCGCGATGACGAGAAGTGCGCGCGCAAGTACGGCGAGGACTGGGAGAAGTACAAGAAGATTGTCAGGTGGAGAATCTTGCCTGGCATTTACTAAGGGTCCATAGAACCTTTGGACATGCCATCGGAAAGCCGGGCCGGGCTATGGAAACGGATAGGAACCTCTTCGGGCCGTTTCTTTGAGTCGTGCAGCATTACGAAGGTTGGCGTCTAGCAAATTGGCGTTGGGCAACGGTTGCGCATGTGGCGTTGGTAGCCTCAGGCGGGGAAATGGACCTTATCGTAGCAGATTCATGCTAGATGGAGGCGCAATACAGCTTTTATGATCGGTTATGATACGGATGAACCAGAGATACTCCAGCTTGGACTACTAAGCTCCCTTTCCGGCAAGACTGCCTAATCTCCTGCGTCTGTGAACTTCTTAAACTTGGAATACTCTTTCGATCAAGGACCATCGTAGGAGAAATAACGATAGAGGCAGCCAGGACGACAACGATGACAACGACAGTTAGGCAGGGTCTGAGATCACAGAAAAGGTAGTCTCTCTAGCCAACGTAGTCTACTAAGCTTCTTTTCCTGCGGCTTATTTCTCACCGAACCCAGCCACGCACGTCTTGGCCTGATTGGTGACGGGTTTGGGCGCTGGTGAGACAATTTGAACCAACCTTGTTTTCGGTTGACGTCCGTCTTGGGACGGAACAGAGAGGGCACTCAAGACATCAATTGGAACGTTACCTGTTCTACGCTCTGCCTGCCGCAAGCATTGCATCAAACCAACCAGATTTTGCAGCGACACTACGCGAGCTGCTCATGGTGGCTCTGCTGCAGCTCCGTTTTCTTCCCTCGGATTCCCCATCTCATCGATGAAGCTTCTCCAACAATTTAGTAAACGGGCCGAAAGACTCGGGGGTCCCG